GAAGGATATGTCAAAGCATGGTATCAGCACAATACCAAAAGGTGATTGCGGTTCATGCGGGAAACCAATCGTTGGACAGGTCAGTATTGCTTTACGCATTTTTGCGGGGATTTTTTGCGCTTTTAGTCGTAGTTTTGTTTATAATTTGTTTCTATTTATTTGAATATTTGAAGCGGCAGCTACCTCAACAACGATTTTTATTCAAAACGTTTTCTAGCGATGCAGCGGAAACCATGCCATCGATTTCGATCTTAGGCTGTCCGCATCCACAGTACACCATACATCCAAGTTAGCGGTTCGGCACAGCGCATCAGTGACCTTTTTTAGTAGTTTTTTGAAGCGTCATGGGTACCAGTCGATGATCCACTTTCTTCATCTGCTGTTTCTCATCCTTTAGTTATGATATTTGAAATCCTTACAGGTTGTGATAGCACTGGGTAAAATGTGGCATCCAGAACATTACGTGTGCTGTCAGTGTGGCGAGGAGCTGGGACACCGGAATTTTTTTGAACGAGCTGGTAAAGCATATTGCGAGAATGACTATCATGACATGTTTTCACCTCGATGTGCATACTGTAATGGACCAATCAAGGATGTAAGCTTTTCCGCTTGAGTAACTTATTTCAATGAGAAATAAGTTTTTTCCAATCGAAACTTTTGTGGGTACTACTTACATGATGCTTATCGATCATCAGCGGAGCGAGCAGCATGTCTCAACAACTTGGGTGTTACGGTTTTTCACGACGCTGGTGCTATCCTCCACACCGCACATCCATGTGCATATCCAGGGTGGATGCTGTGGGGGAGGGATGAAGAGGGGACGGGGGTGGGGTTCCTATGAATAGGACGACGAAGATTGGAGGGAGAGCGCCCTCTCACCCCGGAAATATGCAAAATCTAGGGATAGAGTTGCAGCACTGCTCTTTAGAATTACTTTATTCTGATTTATGAACAGACTCGGGCTTTCTGGCGCCTTTGCCGCTGGGAAGACCCTTCGCTCCTGGCCCCTCCGTTGGATCCGCCTATGCGCACATCTAGTAGAGCATTTTTCAACTGTTCAAATTGATATGGAAATTTTTTATTTTGCAATTTGAGTAACAGTTATTAGAAGATCCAATTTTTATGCTTTTTATTGTTTTGATAATTCTTACCTTATTTTTAGAGATGTGTAACTGCCCTTGG